GTAGTGAAAACCTCGCCAAGTTGGTCTACCGAGCTCTGGCAGAGGGAATACTGATGATCAGGCTATGGCTCTCGCCTGGGGCTTCTTTTTATAGTTCGCTTTCTCTGAAACTATCAGGCCTATCGAAAAGTGATATCTACTATCTAGTTTAATTAGAATTTCATTGGCTTTCATTTTGTTGAGTTGAAACACTCTTTTTTTAAGCTGAATAACGGTAAATTGCAAATATGTACATATCTCGAAAACGTATCCGTATCCATTTCACTAAACAATTCTACATACGAATTAGATAGTGGCAACCATAGAATATTTTTGCTGTAAGCCAGTGTAATCTAATGAATTTTCAAAAAAATTACATTTTAAAATCGACTGGCAACTCTAATGTACATTTTAAACCACCGCTAAAACAAAAGCGGAAATTTCCTCTACCCACCCACTAGTATGGAACACACTGCCTATTGCATACATACATATGTATGTACATACATACACATAACGCCGAATCACATTAGCAAAGCATACAATCAAAAACAAACCTAAACACGAACTACAATTACAAAAGGAAGCCGGCAAATTGAGGCAAATGCTGCGCACAAAAGAAAATGCAAAACAGCTGCTGCTAACTCATCTGCTCCCCACCACTTGGTGCCCCAAGCACACCGTATGCCACTCTCTTTGCTCACAAACTCACGCTGTTGTAGAACTCGAAGTAATACGAAGCAATTTTACATCTGTAATGTTGTGGCCAAACGAATGAACAAACAGGTATGTGTGTTGTGTAACGATATATACATACATACATTCGTTTATACATATGGACATACATATATATATGTATTAGGGTGCCCATCGAAAATGCTTTTTTCGGTAATTTCAAGACCCCACACCCAATTTTATTAGTTTTTATGAGAAATATTATTGCCTATTTTTATAGATTTTTAAAAGGTCATTTAGAGGTCGCGACCTGACGATTTAGGTAAGAAAATACGATCTTGTAGATTTATGAGTTTTTGAATGATTATTTTTGCTTCGATTCCAAAGAGCGAATATGGTCTGAGAAGAGGATATATAGGCCTTCAAAATGCTATATATTTGTATGTTGTGGATTTGGCTTGTTGAGATTTTTTATCGGATAAAGTAAACAAAACCCATACTTCTTTTAATTTTTTCAAATTTTGACCATCGATAATTTCCACAGTTTCAAAATATGTAGTACTATCTAAAACTAAATCTATTTTTAAATAAACTGATAGCTCATTTATTGTAATCGCATGCAAATTGTCGAAGTTAGGCGACTTTTCTTAAATACTGCCTTGAATTTATATTGTGTATGTACCGGACTTTAAGATTTATTGGGCAGTGTGGCTAAGGAATTCACCAATATTTATTCAAAATTGATATATTCACTCGCTCTTTAGCAAAAAATTGGTCTTCCCAAAAAATTTAGCGAAAGGGGGGGTGGCACTTATATCATTAGTTGATCGACCTCAAAAATTAGTTGATCGACCTTGATCAGATTCGTTACATACATTAAGCTTAGGTTTCTTAAGTGCCATTTTCCAAAAAAAAAAAGCAATTTCGAGGGGCACCCTAATATATACGTATAAATATATACATACATACTTACATGCATACATATATCCCAACAAAGAGAAAATTACATTTTGGGCTCCCTTAGCTCCAACCGAAATAAAAAAAATTTACATTGCGAGAGAGAGCGCCAAAAACGAGTTGCGAAGATGAAGAATGTGATTTCGGATCATAACAAAACCAGCACAAACAAACGCAAATGGGGCTGGAAAAAGGCAGGGAAAAGGAAGCCAAACACGTTTTACAGGCCCGACATATACATATTTGTGTATGCATGCATACTTATGTACATATGTATCTATGTATGTTTGGCTACATCGACGAATGCCGCTTGTTGGAACCTTCATAACATAGCATTTGAAATTCAGACACATGAAAATATTTGGATATCTTGTGTGTTTGTATGTACACTTAATATGTACATATGTATGTATGGATGTAAATTCAAAATACAAACAGCCAAGCCAGTGAAGTCAGAGCGCGGCACAGTGGAGCCTACACATGTAAAATCTTTCAAATTTGAAACCTTGGATTTTTTTAATAATTATATGATATTATTGAAGATGGTATGTAGGTATCTAAGTACAAATATTTGTACATACATACATACTTACGTGCATATCTAGGTGCGATTCTTAATCGAACACGGATGATAGCTGATAGATTGTAGAAGTTCATGGCTATACCAAGCAGAGAAGCATGAATGAAAGGAGGATCAGGATCTGAAGATGCCTACGATTGCTAAACGGATAACTCCAAATTAGAAAATAGAGCTGAAGGATGCGTCTATTCGGAACAGTTATCAATACAATTGTCTTTCCACCCATCTGATAATTGTATTGCTTTTAATGCCGAATAAGCGGCCAAAAAATAAGGAGTCGATAGCCTTGAAGTAGCTGTTGACGCTATTAACAACATCTAAATAAAACAACAAAATTTGTAGAAATTATAATTTTTTATTTTATCCGGCTTTTTAGTCTATGGAACTTACTTATGTAGTATATGGCACATAAAATTCATTAAAAGCCCACCACGACTCCTCTGGCAACACAGGATGTGCGTATTAAAATTTGCTAGTAGTTTTCGGAATAGTTCGCGCTTTATATCATTCATAGCGCGTATGATTTTGTTCTTTAGCGGTGAAATTGTCTTGGGCTTATCAACATAGACCATACTTATCACGTCAAATCGTAAAATCTCGGCGGCCATTTGACCTCGCTATTTCGTGAGATAATGTATGTACACTGGAAGCTCCGATCGCAATATTGACTTTGGTTGATGCGCTGACTGGCATCCATTTCAAATAATTCAGGCCATAAAAAAAATTGTTATCATATCACGACAACGTTCACCGTTTATGTACGGCGAAATGACTCCGGCATCTCAAAAATCACACCGGCCAGAGACTCTTTGTGGATGCATAAATTTTCTTGAATGATCTGTGAATTTTCAGTACCCCAAATGTGGCAGGTTAGCATGCTAACATATCCGTCTGGGCCGGTGCAGAACGAGCAGCCCCTTGAACTTAGTTTCACTCACCTTCATGCGAATTTAATTCAAGTCTGAGGAAAATCAATAACTATTCTTTTTCTAAAGGTAAGCGATGTTTATCATTCAAGGGTTAAGCAACACAGTTTATAACCGAAAATCAGTTTTACTCGTTTTGTTAAACAACGCTGATCAACTGTAAATATTTTATATATAAACTCGGAAATGTTGTTTTACTGTAATGTCAATCAACTATGCAAATTAAAGTCAGAGTCCAGTTCTCTTCCACTGTTGCTGTTAGTTACTTAAACTGTTTCTCTTCAACTCATTAAGGATTCGTATGTATATACATACACACTTACATATTTATGTATATAAGAATGTGTACATGTACATCTGTATGTGTACTTGACAAACCCTGTAGTAAAATTTAGAAACAGTCTGGAAAAACACTAGTTCCACACTACACATTTCTGAACTGCCTCCTCACTACTGTAAAACGACGTAGTTGCGACGTAAAGTCGAGTCTTCTTAGCAAGTACCTGCGGAAGTAAAAAGTATCCTACTGCGACCGCGCCTTTTTTTATGATTACATACATATATACATACTATTTGAAGAGTCAAATAAGGTTCGCCTTTTTATTGCCGACAAAAATTGTCCTCAAACAGTCTTCTATGCGACTTGTTAATGACTTGAAAATGCTATAACCTACTAAACAATCTTTCAAATGCTGTCTTGGAGGTTTCTTATATGTACTAGTAATGCGAATGTGAAAGCTGAGAAGTATGTAGATGTACCCACCTGTTCTCATTTTACGTATGTTACGAAAGTAACCTCGAGGGTAGACCGCCACTGCTTACAATGGCGGTAGGATGTTGTCTTCTACTAGACTGGCCAAAGAAACCGCCTTGTCGGCAGCTGCGCTGACGGAGGAGAAACCGATTTTCCCACAAGCGATCAAACGGCAGCCCACGATTCGACAGGCACAGAAGTGGGAGGCACACAAAACATACAGCTGCACGGCGTCTAGAAGAACACGGATTAGTTTTGTGGGAGAAGCATTTCCACCGAATATAGAGACAACTGTTGAAATGGGTATAAGCAACTGTTTCACTTTGCCAAGAGACCAACAAGATCTCCTGGTCTTCAGAGATTAGCTATGTAATTTGGTCATATCCGATGTTTTTTGGTAACGCTGTCGACCTTAATGGTCTCTTTGAAGTCACGTACATAGTGGCTACGCAGCCTAAACTAACCTCACCTAGATCGGGCGCCAACACCGTTAACTTTTTAGTTAGCTCGGAGTTAGTTCTGAACCAGTTCGATTTTCTGCAGGGAAGCCTTTATATTGCATTACATGGCAAAACTCTGTAATATTAAAGAATCCGTCGAGTACGAGTTTTGCTGCGGATTGAAACCAGCTAAGGCTTAGCCAAAGGGGAGCTAAAGTCAACTCGTAGCAGAATGAGTTGGCCGCATAAGTATGTATGTACATACATATATATTGGGTAGCTGATGTGATTGTTGTTGTTGGTACTGTTGGCTACTGTTAATAAACCTGATGGTAGCCATAGTGCTGCGAATGGTGTTGGCGCTGCTGCATAGCTGATGTTTTTGCGATGGTGATGGTATCCCTTCGCTTTTACACCAACAAAGCAGCAGCCCTGCCATACAACATTTTTTCCGCATTCGCGCTGCTGTTGCTGTTGCTGTTTTTGCTCTCTGCCTTTGGTGTTGCTGCGCATGTTTGTTGTGCTCCTTCATGCTCAACAACTCCTTCTGCTGTGTTCAAATGCACGTGTATGCGTGTGCGTGTGCGTGTGTGTGTTTGTATGTTTGTTTGCGCTGCTCTTATTTATGTTCGTGCAAATGTGTTTCGCACAGCAGTGGGGTTGTTTGGTTAATTCGCAAAACTTGCATTTCGTACGCCAACAGAACAGAATAGCGCCAGGCGACAGCCGACAACCGACGCAGCAGCAAGTCAAACGCGCTGGATGGATGGAGTCTTGTTCAGGCAGAGTCAAGTTTACTCAGTCAATTGTCGAGTCAGTTTAAGTTTGGCAACGTTCGTAGTTGGACGTGTGTTTTTGTGTAACGGAATGTTAGGGCAACTGCGCCGCGCTCAACCACAGTTTGGAATGTTGACACTCTGTTTGATTTCGTTAAATACCTACTAAATGTATAAGATACAAATTGTAAATTTTGTGTGTGGATTTGAATAATTATTCTAAAGTGCGCTTTTAAATGCTAGTGGCAGTGTAACGCCATTTGCCATTGAATTCGATAAACGCTGTGTGGTGTGGTGGTGACGCAGCGTAAAAAGGTGTTGCAAGACATTGGTAGCAACAGCCACCGAGCGAGTTATGTACGTACTATAAAGTGAGTGCGCCAGTTAGTTGACGAGCGAGTAACAACATTTGAAAATACATTGAAACCGGTTTGTTTGTCTTTTGGTATGTTTGTTTTGTTTTTGCTTTGCGGCTCAAAGCAGCTAGCAGCACTGTGAGTCGTTTGAACGGTTTTGTGGAAATTTTTTTTTTCGGGTGAGTGTGAGTGTGTGCGCCGCACCAAAAGAATGCGGTGTTGAAAAAAAAATGTAATGGAAAATGTAGCAAAACAAGAAATATTTAAATGTTGAAAAATTCCTTTTGCATAAAATATGCAGCGAATGTCGTATACAAATATAAAATTTCGTGCATAAAAAATTGCCGTACTGGAATGTGTAATGAAAACAGAAAAAAAAACAAACATTAAGTAGAAGCAGATAGTTGTGCGTGTGAAGTAATTCGCGAAAAAAATATTTGTATAAAAAATACTTTTCACCGCTCGAAAATAATAGCACAAGAGCCCAATTGAACAAAAAATAATTAAAATTCTTCTCAACATTACAAGCTTATTTATACACATACAATACATACCTAGGAGTAAATAGCGGCCAATGACGCAGCAAATGATTTTTTTTTTTTTTTTTAAGGAAAATCAAAAAAGTGTTCCAATCGCTCAAACAGCTCAAAATCACCAGAGAACCAGTGTTTTGTCTGCACTTCGTGTTAAAAAATCCCAGCAAGCCAATTTTTATTGCAACCTGAATGTGACTGACTGATATTTTTAGAGGTGAGAAACTTATTAAACTCAATGAAATATTTTAAATAGAGAGATACTGCAAAACTCGCACATGATACGAGTATCAATCGTACATAAATGCAAAGCTAAAAGATTAAAGGAAATGCTCTAAGGAAAATGCCACAACTCCGTGCAGCTTAGCTAATAATTTTCAATATGCCCTTTACTTAATGCCAATGAAGTGCACAAATAGAATGCACAACGCTAATAAATTCAATTCAATGCAGCATGCGCAGCACGCCCACGCAACGCAGAATCGCCACGCATCATTGGCAGACAAACAAACACACCCGTAGTGCATTGACTGCCATATCGCGCATAGTAATTGAAGCGAAGCCACGGAAATAATCCTATCAGCAAGCGAACGATAAGTACACACACACACTCACACACAGGCATTAGCAAATCAAGCAACTAACGCAGACAAGTCACCAACTAGTACTAACGTACATAAACGTCCGTCCGTCCGTCCATGCGCGCGCTGTTTACATTGGCAAGTTATTACAGCCACCAGAACAACAACAGCAGCAACAACAACTAAGTAATATCCGAACTACTGCTGGGCGGCAGCTCAATCACGGAAGTAACAAACGCAAAACGCGCTCCTTCTTCTTCCGCGCCAAGCGTCTCCACATCCGTTTGCTGCTGTGCTGCTGTCCTGTTTGACTCGCGCGCCAGCTAGCGCATAGCGAAAAGGAGTAATCGAAAAGAAAAAAAAAAAACAAAAACAAAAAACGCACCATAGGTGGCTCCAAAAATAATGCTTGCCAACGCGGCCAAATAAGAAAGTATAGCAACAAAACGCGCAAAGTCTGTACAAACTTGCAATAAGTGTCAGCGTGTTGGCCACGGCCAGGTCGTTGGAAGTCCCGTTAAAAATCCCATAGCCTCGCCACGCATACATACAAACACAGTTTGGCCGGAAACCGCGAAAACTAAACTAATTTTCAGCTTACGCAAAAGTCTCCCACAGCGCGCGTCGTCACATTTTTCTTACTCAATGTTTCCTGTTGCCGCTGAGACGACCGCAAACACCACCACCACAACTAGCAACGCTTGCATGCACTTCTTTCTAGCGAATAGCGAATAGGCGGCGGAGTGTTGCATAGTACAGAGTTAGAAAGTGTTGCACACTGCTAGTTGCGCCCACAAACACACACACACACAAGCGTCTGTTTTATCAGTGCAAGTACACGCGATCGCAGCGTAACTAACTAAAACTAAAAAAAAAGATGTATACTTGAATTAACAAAAACAACAGCAAACTACAAAACTAACAACTTGAGCGAAATAATTCAACGCCAATGACATCATAAGTACTAGCAATGCAACAAGAAGGACTCGCCATACAAGGCTGCTACTGTTTAAATGTGCACACATCTATGTACTTAGTATATATTATACGTAGCTACATAGTTAGTAAGTAGTCAAGTGTGTGCAGTTGTAAAAACAAAAACTAAAAACTGAAAACAAAAAAAAAAACAAAAATTTAAGTGCCGCCAGCTCTTCTATACTTACTTACTTCTAAGCACTTGAAGAGCAACGCCTCATAAGGTCCACCGTAGCGTCCAACGCAGCACTTTGAACACTTTCGCGCAGCCAGTTAGCTCGTCCATTCGCTGGTCGTCCGTTTTGGTCATAATGTCGTAATAACTGTCACCACTGTTTGGTTAAGTGCGAACCAGCTACATACATAGAGCAAAAAACATATGTACGTATGTACTGAAAAGCGGCGGCCACGGTGTCTAAGCGCCACCATTTAAGGACGCGTAATGTAGCGCAAGCAACGTAACGCACTAAGCACAACTCAAGTGTTGAAATGCTATAAAGAAGCTGAACCGAGTCAGGCCACAAGTCAAGCAGCCAAGCAGGCAGACAGGCAGGCAGGCAGGCGGCCGGCTTCAAAAAGGAAAGTCATCGTTAGTGGGTGCTATTGCACTTGCTTAATTTTTTTTAATTTGACGGAAATTGTATTGAATTAGTGTGTGCGGCATAAACGACCGAGCAGCTGAAAAAGAAGAAGAAAATATATATGTAAATACATATACCCACATCTATAAAATATACAAGTACTTACTTACGTGTAATAATAAAATATTTTAGTTTAGTGTTAGTTCAATGTGCCACCCTCTGTGAACAGTGCTATATTACAAGTGCGAAACCCCCATTGTGTGTGTGTTTGAGTCTCATATAAGAAGGCAGATACCCTACCCAGGGTCTATCGAATAATCAAACATAAATACATACATAGTAGGTACATAGTGCACGCGTGAGATACTTGAAAGTTATAAGCAAGTCGGGCAGACTCGTTGGAAGTGCTGAAGTGCGAATACGTAAGCAAATAACTCTATATAGTAGTTAAAGTGCTTCATACATACAAATGTACATCCCAGCGACACCGATAGTCGGTCAGCAGTCAGTCAGTAAAGTCAGTTAGTCAGCGGATACGACTCTTAATGAAAATCTAATTTATGCGCACCGGATTGAAGTGGTCATCTATCTCTGCAGCAGGCGATTTTTGCTGACTTTTATTTTTTTTCTCATTTTATTTTTTTTTATTTCATTTGGTTTACTTGGTGCGGTACGGAGCGAAGCGAAACGAAACGTTAAATGTGGATTTGCAGGTCAGTAGGAATAAAATGTAATTAAAATGTTATTAATGTGCGCATACATATTTATGTACATCTATAGATTTATACTGCATATATGCTAATAAATATTTTACTAGTATAAAAATGCACACATATGTATATACAGTATCGGTCATATCTAAGAACGCCATTTCTAAGTGATATTGTGTGCCACTTATGATTATTTGTTTATTTTTAAGAATTTTCAATTAAATTGTAGTTCCGCCTCTAAGAAAACCCATATAAACCCAAGTTTAAAAATTTTCACCTAAATGTTCTTGGAAGTGTTAGAATTTGTTTGAATACACAGTTTTATAGCCCAATCAATTTTAGTCTGATAAAGTGCAAGTTTCAAGTGGCCAAAAGTAACGGCCAAAGGTGTTGAGGTTTTCTTCCATATATAAATAAATAGAATTTATTCACTATATGGAAGCCAATGCAACAAAAAAAAATTCTTAAACATTAACGGTAATTCGTAGCCACTTGAAATTTGCACATTATCAGACTAAAATTGCAGGGGCTAAAAAACTGTGTGCTCAAAAAAATTCTAACTCCAAAAAAAGTTTGAAATTTAGGTGAAAACTTGAACTTTTTTGTAGTTTTCTACAAATTGTTAAAATTGGGTATAGTTTAGCGGGTAGTTTAACGTAACTGTTAAACATTTTAAACATTTTTCAAAAGAGTCAATAAATAATTGTTATTTTTTACTAATACGTTTTCAGTCAAAGATAAGAGTTCACGTTTGACTTTTATTTTTTCGGTCAAAAAGAAAAGTTAAAATTTGACTTTTATTTTTTTCGGTCAATAATAAAAGTTAAAAATTGATTTTTATTTTTTTCGGTGAAAAATAAAAGTTAAAATTAAATTAAACTTTAGTCAAATATAAAATTTAAAATTTTACTCTCATTTTCTCAGTCAAAGAAAAATGTTAAAATCAAGATCAAAAATAAAAGTTGAAATTTTATTGCTATTCTGTTTAATAGAAACCGTTTAAGTTAAAAACGTTTTATTGCTACTTTTAAACAAGATATTTGTCATTTCTTATATGAATTATATCGAAATTTGGAATTTTTTCCTTTCTGAAAAATCCGTTATTACTGTGTAAGTGTAAAAGCATAACAAATATGCTTTTTCACTTTGAGATTTTTTCAATTAAAACATGTTGTATTTTTATGAATATGTAAACTGTTTTTTTTTTATAAAAAAATTAAGTAAAAGTTTAACGGTTATTTATAATATTGTTATTGAGCTTTGTACTAGAGCTCTAGATACCCGGGTTCGAGCAATGCCAGCATGATAAAAACATTACAAGGTAAATTCATTCTCTCATTTCCTCGGCCATGATTTTTTTCTGACGTTTGCCAACATTTTAAAATCATATAAAATAAAAAAATAAAAAAATTAAATTGTTCACAATTGTTGTTGTTTGAGATTGAAAATGAGAATGTGTGTGTGAGTTTGAGTTTTGATTTCAAAATTATATTGTTGGCAAACGTCAGACTGCCTCTCAATGGTTTTACCTTGTTATGTTTTTATCATGAATGCGAGTAGCTCGATACTCGCTCGAAACTCGTTCATTGCTCAACTGCTCAAATGTTTGTTCAAAATTTTCGAGTTTTGAACAATTTCATAAACAAAAGAAAATTTGTAAATTGTGTTTGTCAGCAGCTGCTTTCTAATTCATGTTAAATAAATTATATTATTAAATACCAATGAAACGATCTTTGCATTATATGTCAATAATTTGAAAAATTTAAAAAGTTGCTACCAAAAATGTCAATATAATAAAAAAAAAACATTGCTAAAATTACTCGAAAAAATTCGAATTTCTCGAGCTCATGCTCGAAAATTTTCGAGTAATGAGCATTGAACAAGTGTGCGAGTACTCGCTGCTCATATACCCGGGCTGTTTGAAAATGTGCGAACAAAATCTAGAGCTCTACTTTGTATCACGATAATGTTTATTAGGAAAAATGGAAAAGGTAACAAAGTCTAAGTGGTAGAAGTTGTAGCAGCTATTTTAACTGTTATTTTTTACCAAAATATTAAAAGTCAGATTTTAAATTTCTTATTTGACAAAAAAATAAAATCAGATTTTGAAGTTTATATTTGACCAAAGAAATAAAAGTAAAGTTTTAATTTTTATATTTGATCGAAAAAATAAAAGCAAAATTTTAGATTTATTTTGGACCGAAAAAAGTCGAACTGTAACTGTAATTTTTTATTAAAGAAATCTAGGTAAAAAACAGGAACGTTTGACATCCGGCTTATCCGACCGTGTTACGGTTCTCCGACTATCCGGCCGGATTTTAGCCAATATCTGGATTTCGATTATAGAAGATTCAGTTAGAAATCTAGTTATTGTCCGAATCCGGCTCTTATTTTTTACATGGCGTCCGGAATTCGATCATCGGGCAAAATCTCTATCCGGCACATTCCTAGGAAAAAAATAACGAATGATTGCTGACTTTTTTGAAAAAAGTCCAAAAAATTTAAATCATATAGGATTAATATTCCTTGATTAACAAGCATCACAATGCTGTATGTACATATATAAATGTTAAATAGAAAGGTTTTACCCGACTAACGTTTTGTATTGAAACTTCGAAAATGACTATTATTTGCGACCCCTGATATGTACACGTTTATTTGTAACTAATACCTGCATATGTACGTATTTTCTGACATTTGAAAGAACAACTTATGTAAGTTTATCTTTAACGAAGAAATTTTTTTTTGTCGCGGGATAGATAATTTGCTGGTTCTTGAATAATTCGCCCCTGCGTACAAAAATAGAAGTAATTGGAAACCTAGAAAAGTTGCTACTTAGTCATACATAGCTTTTGAAAAATTTATTGTAGCTGGTTGAGAAGCATCGAATTAAGTTCAATCTCTCCAAGATGATACGATAGGAAACACAAAATACCGCCTTTTCAGCCGTTCTATGTCAGTGCTGTGGGGCTTACACTCCAACGAGGTAAAATTACATCGGTAGCCTAGGTAGCGAACCAGAAGAACCAAATCCGCCCTATCGAGCCTCTAATGCCGCGGTGGGGAAACGATGGGATCTGAGAACCGCGCTCTAGAAAAG